CTCACACATAAACTACACACACTTGGTTGTCCCTTTTCCCATAGTGTCGGAATTTCTGTCTGTATGCTTCAGGCACCAATTGATAAGCACACAATACTGTAGCCCTAACCACATCATGGTCTAAGCTTTGGTCCACTGAAAGGCTAGCACACTCCTCCTGAGCTTTACTCACAAGCCTACACTGCAGCAGCAAGGCCCAAACTTCCTTTTGCCAGTTCAAAGCTTTAGCAAACACAGCAAAGTATGAATCCACCTCAGTTTCTCTAAAGGGTGGTAACAATTTAATGCGCAAATCAAAGCAATTATGGGGCGATAGGGGGAGCTTACAGTGTGAGCGGTGACTGGATGGAGCTACTAGGGTGGCGTTGCAGCTCTAAAGCTTTCACCCATAGATGCATCGCTTCCACCTCCAACTCCCAGTTTCTCAACTCCGCTTCCATAATGCAGAGCATTAGCTGGAGCTCCTCAGCTGACGTCCCCATCATAGAACTGGGAGGAGCTAAAGGAGAAGTGTTTACAGGAGGACCAGTGGAAGGAGCTAGAGGCTCCACATCAGCTTTGCCTGCCCCATTTGCAAATGCCACATCTGCCAGCAGAACCCTCTCAACCAGCTACAAGCTGCCGCAGCTGTTCTTTCCTCACAGCCAATGGTGTTTGCACAAAGGTTTTCAATGAGCATCAAATCTATCTTTCTACACTTATTTAACTGCAATGTTGGATTCCCGGCAAACTTATCTAAATGAAACCCCATTGTGGCTAACCACACAAACCAAACAACCTTCACGTGGAACTTACACAAGCACAAACAACACAGAGAACAAACAATGCCACCCTTGGGTGTGAGGACCACAAACAACATACAGCATCATAACCTGGGTCATATCAGAGTATTAAGTGCACATCTGTCCATACTGGCCTGTGGTGACTGTAATAGTTTTTACTGCTAAAAACAGCAAATCCCCAAATATAAGTCAGCAAAAGCAAACATTAGAATAAAAATAATAATGGGTTGGATTTATATAGTGCTTTTCAAGGCACCCAAAGCGCTTTACAATGCCACTATTAATTCACTCTCGCATTCACACACTGGTGGAGGCAAGCTACAGTTGCCCTGGGGCAGACTGACAGAAGCGAGGCTGCCATATCGCGCCATGGGCCCCTCTGGCCAACACCAGTAGGCGTAGAATATCATCTTTATCTACCCACAGTCTATTTATTCATCTATTTATTCTAGCAAAGCTTATGGTAATTAGCTAAAACACCAAGCTTGAGGTGGGATGCTGCACTGTGGTTAACGTGTTGCATTGCAAAACAGAGCTGTGAAGTGATGCATGACTGTCAAGTGTTACCCTTCTCATGAATGTTAAAAATAAACCCATTTGTATTATGGTAAATATTCTACGTTTAGCACTAAAGGCTGGTTTTCT